GGTAGCAGCAGCCTGCCAAGCAGGCCTCGCTCTTTAAACTCTTATTAATGAGCCGCAACGTGTTGCAACGCAAGTGTCGCACGCAACGGATCAGAACGCACGCCGATTAAGCCCCAGTTAACGTATGCCCCCAGAAAAAGGTGGCGATCCATGTCCGAGGCATCTCTCTCTCTCTCTCTGTCGCTCGCTTGCCCAATATTCATGGTTCCATGTGTTTTTGATATTTTGGGATTAAAGTGCAGTCGTCTCTGGGCTTTTATCGGCACTAATGGACCATGGAACCGCCATGCCTCCGTGTGACAACTTTTTGTTGTTGTTCTTTCTTCCAGCTGGAACTGTTGCTGTTGTTTCAATTAAGATTCCCATAAACCCAGAGACCTTCTAGATGGTAGGGGGGCTCTGCTCTGCTGTGAGGTTGGTGTCTCTGGTTATCTTCATGGCTTGTCACTTCGACTCCACCTCTGATTTTGTTTTCCACTAAATAAAGACATTAAAAGTGCCGTCCAGGTTTGTGATTTGGGTTTACGGTTTTAAGGCTGTTGGGGATTTATTAGGGACCACCTTTGGGCTTAACACTTTTTGGTTTTTTGGTTTTTTTTTGGTTGTCTTGTTTTTAATTTCACTTGCCACACGGGGCAATCAATCTCTTGGTGGATTGTCAACCGCAGTTATGAGCCTGAGAAATGGTCATAAACCATCATTAACAAGCAGCTGCCTTCTGCCTCCTCTGGCGCTTATGGCCTGGACATGGACACGGGACTGGGATTGGGATTGGGGCATGGAGATGCAGTTGTGTTTTTTTTATGGATTTTTTTTGTGTGTGGTGCAAGTTCTCGGGAATCCACTGCTGTGGAAAGTGTTGACATCTCTCTGGTCGCTCATGTTGCTGCTTCTTGTGGGGTCTCAGCATTCTTCTTGTTCGGGATTATTTCGAGGGAAATTTGTTATGGAACAAAAGAGCTTTTGTGCTGTAAAAAGCGATTCCTTTTGCTCTCTGTTTAAGTCCCCAAAGTCCCTATGATATGCCAGCTCTAATAAATCCAATTAAAGCTTCAAACATTTCAGACATAGAAAAGACGTGTTGAAAGCCACACACAGAGAGAGAGAGAGAGAGAGAGAGAGAGAGAGAGAGAGAGAAAAAACTGGATAAACAACTGCCACACATTTTCATGAATGAATTTTCGATTTCCACTAAAACTCCTACACCACAAAAGGCACATAGATACAGATACAGATGTATGAGGCAGTGGCACGAGTGTGTGGGGCAGGCACAACCAACCTACTCGGTCATGCAAAACACGATTCACTATTAAGGCAGCAAAAAGGTGTACAAGTGTGTGTGGGGGATAAACGGTAGGGGCACGGTAGGGAGAACTGCCACCGCAGGCAGACAACAAACAGCTTTTGAAGCATAGAAGAAATTGAATGGAGGAGTTGCCACAGACACAGATCCAGACACAGACACAAACACAGAGACAGGCAAAGCCATAGCCTCCGGGCTGGGGGGGTTTACTCCGTCTGGAGTAGAGATCGTTTTGGCTTTGGCTTTGGCTTTGGCTTTCATTCATAAATGGTTAAAGCGGTAAGACGGGGGCTTTTGGCAATGTTGTATGCTGGCTGTGGAGAGCCCTCTGGCAGGAGGGAAGCTCTCTCTCTCTCTCTCTCTCTCTGCACGATGAGTCATCTACTGGCTGGCAATGCAATGGGGCACGTGATGCCCGTTGTGTCGAGGTGTGTCAATTAGCAGTTGGTTGTTGCCTGAGCCGAGGCGGACAGGAGGCAGAGGAGCAACCAAAGCCAGACGACGACTACGGCGATGATGATGATGAGGAGGAGGTACTCGTCGAGGCACAGCCACAAGCAGAGGATGAGGCAGAGGCAGTACCAGAACTAGAGGATGAGGCAGAGGCACAGCCACAGCCGGAGTAGGAGCAGAAGGAGCATCAAAAGAGAGGAAATTGCTGAATGTTTAGGCGTAAGACCAAGCCAATGACTCATCTTGCCATCAGACTTGCGACTGCCGCAACATTGTTGCCCCGCCAAAGGTGTTTCTCCTCAGTACTGAGAATCGAAGTGTTTTAATATTTGAGCAGCGCAAAGGAACACCAAAGGAAGGAACTATTTATCGACTCTTTCCAATAGAAAGCCCGTCATAGAACAGCTGATTGGAGGGCTCTTAAATCCAGCCAGAAATAATAGTGAATTGTCTTTGAATATTTCTTAATGGGGGAACCTCCATGATTCGCTCTATGAACGCCTTTGCCTGTGCCTCTTGCCTCTTGCCAATTTATGAATGAAACCATTGGGTGCTCTCGTGCCAACTGGTTTTCTGGTTCCCTGCTCCTCCCTGCCCTCCACTGCCGCTTCCTGCTCGATAGACTTTGGAGGCAATGTCTGCCACCGCGACTGCGAGTGCGACAGTGGAAGTGAGGCACCCACATGTTGTGTTGTACTGTGTGTGCGGGTGGTGGTGTCCACATCCCATATCCATATCCACATCCGCTGACTGACTGGCTTTGGCTTCTCTATTAAATGCGGAAGAGGGCGGGCGCGGAGCGATACATTCAGATTCATTTGTATGCGGCATGCCCCCAACCGCAAACCACATCATCGTCACGTGCTGGGCGGGATTCTTGGATTCGGAATCGGATTTTGGGAAGACTTTGGGGTTTGGCGTTTGTGGCAGTTGAGGCCGTTGTGGCGGTTCCCTTTGTGGCGCCCACAAGCCGCGTGCCGCTTTGATTAATTATGCGATGGTGGCCTACTCCTACTCCCTCTCCCTTTACTCTGCTGTGTGCCCCTTTGCCGAGTGGCAAGCGGTGTGGAAACTTATTGCTTTAAATGCCCATTGTGTGTCTGATAGAACAATTGCCTTGAATTATATCGGATAGGGACACGCCAGATGATTTTTCATGTCCACTAGCCAACGAATATATGTCATTATCTCATGGATTGACATTGGGAATAGTTTTGATGGTTGGGTGAAAGATTTAATAATGTTTGGACATCATTTATCAAAGGAAACACACAACAGTAGCTGCAGTTTGGCATGGATACTGACTCTGGGGAATGTTTACACAACTTTGAGACCTTACAACATTATCAAGAAAGTTGCTTTTAGGCTTGGCCTCCACCTTAAACTTTGTTCTTGTTAAGTATTTGATTTCTTGGCCTGTAAATTTCTTGTTAAACTTTGAAACAAAGTCGCGAAATGCAGCAGGACGTGGGCGTGCAACCAGACCATTGTTCAGGCCAGAGATAAAGCAGCGACCATGTCAATCATTTCCATAGAGAGAAAGAAGATCCAGGAGGGCAGGTGAGATCAGTGGACGGGGCACGAGCGCCACATGATGATGCAGCTGCCGCTTGTCGCTGGAATGCCGGACAGCGGCTAATTCGACCGCCTGCAAAAATGGCAACACAATGCAGCCAGAAGCCAGCGGCCAGCGGCCAGCGGCCAGGGGCCCGGGTGAAGGTCAGATTTCGAGGCAATCAAACAATGGAAAATGCAAAAAGACACAAACACACACACACAGAATGGATGGAATATCGATCGTTTTGAATATGAAATGAAATGAAATGGCAGCAGCCAGCGCATATCCAAATCCCGGGGCAGCAGCCTTGACCGTAGGTGGACTCCAATTACCCTAAACCAGCGGCAGCTGGGAATCGCCTTTTGATTCCCGCTGCCCAATCGATCGACAGATTATGATCTTTCAATCAAATGGCAGCTGTCTGGAGTGCGCCAATTTTCTGAAACATTTGCTTTGGTTTCCAGGGCATCAAATCCAACTTTTTATCAAGGCAAACGAATGAAACGTCCGAGAAGAAGCCGCGTCATCAGCGCAGATTGAAATAATTCCCCCCCTCGAGCTGAGTCTGAGCTGAGCTGCCAACTTGCCAAGTCATCACGAATATTATATTGGATTGGCAGCGGTCCCGATCCTCTGATCTTTTGGCCCAAAACGGCAGACGCAGACGCAGACACAGAGCGAAGAGCGCAGAGCAGATCGCAGATCGCGTGCGATAAGCAACGTCAATATTTGTGTTCCGCCGCTGGATAAATGGATGGATAGGTTAGGATGGAGATGGTATATGGCAGTGTATGGGCTGGCAATCTGATGGAAGCGGTGATTATGAGAGGTCCTTGTTAGTCGGCTTCGCCGCCTTTGAGGTCCAGTGAGGGACAAGTGGCTCTGCCCAATTTGCGCTCTGTTTGTGTATCATTTTGTTGTGGGCCTGGCTAATTGTTTTGCTACCTGCTGACCTCTCCTCTGCGATCTCTTGATCCATATCCAACCACTATCCACTCCACACTGCCCTCCGATCAGCCCCGGTCGACCTGTGGGAATCACTGCTGGAATCACTGTTTGCCTTTGCCCTTGCCCTTGCTCTTGCCTTTGCTTTGATTTGCCTTTGTGGTGGGAAATCGACAACCAGACTAGAAATGTAACAAGTTTGCGGTTTTTCTTTTTGGTGGGAGAAACCTCGAGAACTCGCATTTTCCTGGAGGGTTTTCATTGGAGTTTACTGGAGAACTTTGACACCAAATATGATGGTTTCTATTCTTAGGAATAGTTTTGGAACACAAATAGCAATTCAAAAGGGAAAGATGCAACTATGTGGAGTACAAATAAATTCTCATAATTTTCTAATCTTTCGAATATATTATATGGATTGAACCGTTTACTTTCTACCTTTCAATGGTATTTATATTTAAGAAGATTTAAATTTAAAATCGACTAAAAATCATACTTACATTTCCTTTCAACTGGTTCACTGCTTGATTCGCGGCTCACACTGCACTGGTTCACATTTCAGTTTCACTAGTTCATCGGCTATCCACCTCTGTGGCATCGCTTTTTTCATTAGCTATCTGGCAACGCTGCATTCCTTTTTTTTCTGCAGCTTTTGTAGCCACATGCCGTGTCGTTTTCTTATTTGATTGTATTATATTTTAATTGCATTTATTTGTTGCTACAACTTTTAATTATTTAAAAATGAACGAAGAAATCGATACGCATGTGTCAGAGGATCAGGCGTCTGAAGTTTATGAGCTTATGGAAGTTGATGAGGACACAGACAGCGAAGAAGAAGAGCTGCTGTATGATTTTGCACCCAATTTGCTTGTTGAAATTATATCTAATGAAATGTGTGTGTGTGTTTTTGTGTGTATGTTGCAGCACCAGCGGGGAACAGCAAGCGGAGAATGTTCAGCAGCCCGAAGAGGAACAGGAGAGCGAAGATGAGCGAGAGGCCTTGTCAGTGGCTGCATCTGCTCAAGAGACTAGCAAAAGTTTGTTTCAACTTGCGAAGGACCCAAGCATCAACCAAGAGGTAAAAACAAACACTAAAATTCACCAAAGAAAAGTTCTCTGATGTGTAAACGCTTCTCCATTGCCCAGACAATTGCCACCGAATGGGTGGAAATGTATAAAGAGTGTCACTCCACAGCCCTTTTGCGTTTGATGCAGCTTTTGGTGGATGCAAGTGGCAGTCAATATGTGATACCCGCGGCCACTGCGGCACCCTTCAAGTACACGGACATACTGCAGGCAGCCACGTGTAGTTTTGCTTGCGTAAGTATTGCAATAAGCATGGAATAAAATAAGTAATTTATTTTCTATAGGTTAGCAAATTGTACCCGTTGGTTGCCAAGGAGGGGCACTGCATTGCCGCAAAGCTGTGCTCATTTATGCAGTGTCTTGTGAAGGCCATCTATACCCAAGGCGAGGAGCCGATGCCTTCGAATGTTTGCAGAGAGTTTTCGTCATTTATTTTGGTATTTTCGGACTCGAAAGTGCGTGCTTTTCGCCACACAAGCACACTGATGGGTGAGTAAATGTTAATTAATAAAGAAAATCATTATTAATCTATAAATATTACTCCCTGTGTAGGTCTCCAATGGATGACTGCCCTGCTGGCCATGGGAGAGGCGGAGAAATTCAAGAAATTAACTCATATCTGGAGGAGAATGTTGTACAAACTGTTTGCGCCACGTCGCCTGGACTCTGTGGATGCCATACGTTGCCTGTGCTGCTCCGAGTTTCTGCTGTGGCTGATGGAATATACAGCGATGGCCTTCGATCTGGTGGACTCACATATGTACTGCCTGTTTGAGGCCCTGCATGACACATCGCCCAAGGTGCGCGAGTGCTGCCTGGTGGGTGTATCGCAGCTGTACACCTCAGAGCCACGTGTGCAGCGGGCATGCCTGCAGCTGGTGAAGAAGTACAAGCAATCTGTGCTGCTCATTGCTGTCGCGGACAAGGAGTGGCTGCTGTGCGAGCTGGCCATAAGTCTGCTGATGTCCTGCCTACGCGATTCGCCTGGTCTGTTGAGCGAGGAGGAGATTGCCACCATCGAGGGCCTGATGTTTGATCAGAATCGAGGCGTGGCCCAAGCAGCAGCCGAGCTCTTTGTGCATCAGTATCTCCACAGAAAGGAGGATGAAGCGACGCGCATACGTCGCGTGGTGACGTTCTTCAAGCGGTTTCCAGAGCATGAACATGCCGCATATCTGGTGGATGCTCTGATCGAAAGGAGCAACGTGCTGCTGGCCTGGGCGCCCATGGTGGAGATGCTGCTGAAAGAAGGGGAGGAGGAGCCGCAGCAGAATGAAGACACCATCATCATTGAGCTGCTCACGCATGCCGTGAAGCAAGCCATAACCGGGGAAATACCCCCCGGACGCTATACCAAAGATCTGGTCCAGAGACTGCCCATGGCAGGGGCCAAGCAAAGAGCCACACGAATTCTGGCGCCCGTCATGGCCAAACTACTGCGAAAGCACAAAGAAAACATTGTAAACGTGAAGAATCTGTTGGAACTGCCACAGTATTTTGAGCTCGAGGCCGAGGAGAGTGTCGAGCACTTGCCGCAGCTGATCAAACGCTTGCAGAACATATTCTACCATCAGAGGGACTTGTCGGTGATTCGCACGGCGGTCGAGACTCTGGAGAAGATCAACATGCCTGCGACCTGGCAGGGCATCAAGGAAATACTCAGCACGGCCGTGACGAGCTATCGCATGGAATTACGAAATTGGTATGCGACTGCGCGGACTCAGGCTACCAATAAGAGTAGAGACAATCGTCTTATTGAGCGCCTGCAACTGGTGTCCCTGCTCTTTCGACACTTTGACCTCACAAAATGTCAACTGTTGCCCACAGCCTTGCAGAGCCTCGAACAGTGTCTCTCCGAAGCGGACGGCAGACTGCCACGCGGCACAATTCACTTGTATTTGGAGATTTGCTCGCATGGCCTCATGTGGGAGCAGAGGATAATAATGAAAGACACAGCCACCGCTGAGGATATTCAGGAGCGATGTGAAGGTCTTAAAACGACACTGACGGGCGTTATTCGCATGGCATTCAAAGTGATCAAGTCCATGCCGAATAGATCGTTTCCATATGTGAGTAGATTTAAGGATTAAGAATGTAGAATCTAATAGCATTCCCGTTGCAGGCACTGACCACCATTTGTGATCTGTTTGTGCTGTTTGGCTATCATCTGCAAAAGCACACGAATGCGGCTGTGAGCTCTCTGATGTATCAGCCAACGATCGAAGACTTTGAGCTACTTGAAGCTCATTTGATGATGCATCTATTCGAGGCTGAAGAACCCAAAGAGCTGCGACAGAAGCACGCCTTTGATGAGCTGCACAAGAAGCGTCAGGCACTGGCGGGATACTGCAAATTGGTGGCTTTTAATGTAGTGCCCGTCATGAGGTTTCGTTTTGTATTGCAGTTCTACGACAAGGTGAGGGAGATCAGAGTCCTAGAGTTCCCTTCATTAAGCCCCTTTTTCTTCCCTCAGTTCTATGATGCCTTTGGCGACTTAATGCGCTCCGCCATGGAGAAAGCGTTGGATGTAAATGCCACAAACTATGGCATGACACTGATGCACACCTGCCTGCTGGTCTTTTCGCGAGTGATGAATGGCGAGGAGCCACTCGATTATCTACTCAATCTGGCCAAGCGCTTGGCGGAGACACTCAGCGGTGATCTGCTAAACAGTCGCAAAGGCGTGCTCGCCCTGCATCGCGCTGGCATTTATTTTGCTGCGCAGCGGCAGGAGAATAGCCTCGTGGGTTCGCCACCACAATCGCTGCTGTTTTTGAGCGTGCTGGAGAAGTTTGTGCCGCAGCTATTGTCGCAGGATAAAATTGTGATTCTAAAGCTGCTAAGTGAACAAATTCCGGCAGAGTTGCCATCGTGTCGTCGCGAGGAATGGAAGCCCTTGGAGTGCTATCGCACAGCCCTGGAGCTGGCACTCAAATTTAGCTGTCGCCGTGAGTTGCCTCCAGATCTATTTAGAGCCCAGTTCTAATGCTGTTTCGTTTTTCCTTTCTTGCAGGTGCGGAGTACGAAGCCATGAAGCAGTACTAAGGATTGATTAAGGTAGGACACACATGCTCTAAGGATACATTCATCAATTATATTCCCTGTGGGGATGTTTATGGCACTGCAATTTCATCTACGTTTGTGGGGAAAAAAGGGAAAGCTCTTTACTCTCTCTTGCCTATCTGTTAGTTGCATTTGCAGCTCCCAGCTGCTGCTGCTGCTTCTCCTTCTACTCCCCCCACTTACACTCTCTCGCATGTATCGTGTTTCCATTGAAGGCCGCTCAACCTCATTTTCAATTTCAATGCACGACCCGCGCTGACAAATTGACTGACCCGCACTGAAGGAGGAGGCAAACCTTCTGTGGGTTCTATGTTCTCCTGTCAAAGGCTGCACGAGCGAACACCACCTTTGACACCACTCCAGCAAGACAGCTCCCACTCCCACTTGGACACTGAATCTCCTTTTGGTCGACTTCCCTCAAGGTGTGTGCAGCGTTAAAATATTTCGGGAAATGAAATTCAAGTGGATATTGGGTCACTTCTGGTTTTGGTTTTCAAGTGTCCAAATGGACTGTGTGTGCGGCTCTCGTGTCCATTTCCTTGGCACATGCCGCATATCGTATTACACGAGAGAGAGAGAAACCCAACAAAACTTCGCCTCGCAGCCTACAGCTGTGGGACGGACGATCGTTTCGATGCTTAACCGGAACAACGATACATTCCTCTCTGTGCCACATCAAGCACACGGGGCAACAGCTGGTCTTGCTACACAGAATCTTAATTGGAGGAATCTACAGATCCAGAAGAGTCTTGAGCCAGGGGCAGGGCACACTTCTGCGGCTTTTTGGGACAGGTAGACCATTAATTTCGCATAACGGGGCCCCCATGGCAATTGCATTTCACGCTCCCCTCTACAACGGGAAACCTCATCACAGATGTCCTGACTCCTGCCCCGAAAGCGAGAGATACAAATCAGCTAAAAACGGGCAACGGATCGCAGCAGATCCTGCCTCCCCGACTCGCTCTCTTTGCGGCGGTTGCGGTTTAACGAGATGCGTCACCGCCTCCACCGACTCTGACCCTGCTGCTGCTTGCTGCTTGCCACTGCCACTGCCACTGTGACCCCCGAAACGTGATGTTTGAACGCTGATAAAAGGTCCTTCTGCTCCTCGCTTCGCCGATTAGTTTGCTCGCTTAACGAAAGTGTAACACAAATTTTAGCTCAGACACGCGCATCTGTCGCTCGTTCTCGTTCTCGTTCTCGTTCTCCTTCGATCTTAACTCTTCGGTAGAACAGTTGTCCTGCCTCCCCCCTCCCCGCTTGTGCAAAAAACAAGAAATATAAAAAAAGAAGGGGTCACGACACGTGGCACTTGATTCATATCAAATTTCTGTGCACTATTTTCGGGAGTTTTACAAGGGTTTCGCCTTCGCTTCTGCTGACTGTTCTCTGACTCCTCCTGTGTCCTCCTTAGCCAACTGTCAACCCATTTGGCCGATATTTATGGCCTTTTGCCGTTGGGCATCGGGCAGCGCATCGCATGGGGGGGGCCCCGCCGCAAAACTGCAACTGTTATTAACATGAATTTATTGCCTGTTTCGGCGTTTTTTTCGGGCACAAAATTTACATTTTAATAGTGCAGACTGAAGGCGAAAGTGTGACCACACCACACAAAAAGGGGACTTTTTGGCAGTGCGAAAAAATGCCAGGAACGGAAAGTAACTGCAAGGGTTAAGCTTTTGGTGTTGCCAACAAATTTGTTTCTATCATGTGAGGTCTAAGGAAATGTATTTAAATAATGGCAAATGTGTTGGGGAAAGTGTTTTTGCCATAAGGAAATAATTTAACGTGCGCCAAAGGGCAATGCCAACTCCAGACGAAGTTTGCATAATATAAACAGAGAGAGAGAGAGAGAAGAAGGGAACAAAGGCTAAAGCTACCAGTTTTCCCCTTACCAAAATATGATGAAAATATGTTATATATCTATGCTAAAATAGTTTCTAAAGAGCTTCCCTATAAGCATTCTTCATTAGCTTCCTTTAGCCAAAGTCTTGGGCTAACTATTTCTTCATAAGAGTTCTGGTTCATCAGTTCTAGCGCTCTCCGTTAAACCCTTCATTTAGCCTAGTAACTCTCGTGCATTTATCAACCTTTTCCCCAGAGCCACTCTCTCTTATTTTTGAATATTTGATAAATGTCTTTCTAATCGCCAGAGGCACAGAGCCCACACACAACACTTCAGCAACATTAATATTCAGAGGCTACTCCTGAAGCCTAAGTCCAAGCTAAAGTGTGCTACGACCCAATGTCGCTGTCAAGTTGCGTGTAAAAACATGAATTCTTCGATTCATCATCGTGACAGGAGGTCCTTCCGCTCTTCGCTCCTTCGACCATTTCCGTGCCCATTGATAAATGCCACAAGAAATTTGTCAATTGTCAATCGGGCATTGCGAGAGGATCAAGAGGATTTTGTGATCCCTTCTGCACGACTGACAGCAAACACGCGGTGTATTTTTTCTGTTCTGTCTGTTTTCTGTTGCTGTTCTCTAATGTCTTGGCAAATAGGTAGTAGCGCCGATGGTAGGACTCTCCCCTGTAAATCAATGTTGCCTGTTTACAAATGTGTCGCCAATGCGCGTAATTCAATCCGTTGTAGCCGCTGTAGCCGGCAGGATGCCGCTCGACAGCCGTCGCCGTCTTGGCAAACCAATAAATACCATTTAGATATTGTTGCCTTAAGGACTAGCAGCTCTGGCCCCAGCCACTGTCTTTGCTTTTGCTTCTGCTGCGGCTCCTTCTGCCACTGCCACTGCCACTGCCGCTGCCACTGCTCCTTGTGTGTCAACAGAGTCATGTGTCGGCATGTCGCCCTGCCTTTAACATATGTCCTTTGACACAGGGATCGACAATGGTTCGAAGGTGCAGCTGAACCCTGCCAAGACACGCATAAATTAACGCACACACACTCACAGCAGAATCTCTGCTGCAAGTAGAACCAATCCGTTGCGCTGATTGCAGCTCTAATCCCCGCTAGGATCCTGCTGCACCTTTCGGCTTGGGCCTGGGCATGGGCCCCACATTAGCACGCGGCATGCGGCATGCGGCATGCGGCATGCGCACGCGCGTCGCCACTTGAACGAAAGGCAGCCAAAGGCAAAAGGATTCAAGCTGCAGGCTCCTTCGCCTCAAGTAGTTTAAAATTAGTCGTGGCCTGTCAGCAAATCTGATTTACGTGCCATCTGCCCAGCTGTTGAATTCTGTACAGATTTCGGGGCGATTCTCTTGCCTTGTTCCTCTCTCAAATTATAATTTTAGTGGCAATCTAATTAAGCAATTACAAGCGTGTGTTGCCCTTTCAGAGTGTGGATTTATATAGAGATCTAAGGCAGATGCTGGGAAATCAGAGAATTTTCTAGAGTCTTCTTGGATGCTAATTGAGAAATATTTCTGTATGGAAACTTTCCTTTAAATTCTCCTTTTGGGAAGCTTAAGCGCAACTCCTTTCCTTCCCTGGAAGTTGGCTTTTGTCAAACAATCTTTTGTCTGCAAATGATAAGATATTGCTTATTGATTTTCCAGCCAAAGAATGCCCCACAAAGCACGTCTCGCAGCCCTCCAAAGGGGCGACAGCTGCTGCCAAAAACTCCACTGAATGTTTTGACCATTTGCACTTTTATGGCCCCTCAACGCAACGCAATCGAAACGCCTCTGAGTTGAGACAAAATGCAATAAAAATAAATTTAACACAACATTTGTGTGAGAGCCTAAAACCAAACCTCATTCTGGTTCCGGCTCTGTCGCTGTCGCCGTCGCTGTCACAACAATTGCAGAACGGGCCAAAGGCAGGATGCGCCAAAAAGGGCAGACAAAATATTTTCAATAATAAATCTATTTGATGGGCGGCACTCGCTCGCTTTTATGATGGCCCCGGGAGATGCGCGATGACAGCAGGCGCAGTCATTAAAAATCTCACAAAAATTATATGTCGCTACGGATGATTAATTGTTGTAGAGGATGCGCTACACCAGAGAGGGAAAGAGAATATTCTTTATAGAGAAAATATATGCAGACCATTTGTGTGTGCAACATAATGTTGAACGCTTCATCGATGTCCAGTACTTGGCACTTGGCTGTGTAATTTGTCTCCTTTGAGAGGGTTTGAGAGGGAAAACGGGCAACGTGCATCTGTTGCAGGCACTTGACCCAAAGAGGCAGCCGCTTCCCTGTTCCATGGAGTCCAACTCCTCAACGACCTTTTGACCATCTGTGTGGTGGTCACCGGTGTCCATGGAGGTTGTCACCTAATTTGTCCAATTTGTGGTCCGTGTCATTTGCTGTAAATATTGCATTTAATTGAACTGTCGGAAAATGTGTCAAACGTTCAGTCCAGAAGGCCAACGCCGAAGACCTTCATAATTTCTGTGAAAGTCAATGAAGTGTGTAGTAGATGTCCAAGTGGAATGACCATTGAATGGATGGTGGGTTTTGATGGTTGATTTTCTTAAGAGTCAGACAGAAGCCATTACCTTTTGGCTGCTACCTGAGTTTTAGACAGGAAATAAAGCCTCAAGAACGGCAAAGGGAAGCCCTAAACTTACTCCAAGAATAGCAGAGGGAATCCTCAAACTTTATCCAAGAATCTACTCAAAACTCCTTCAAGAGTCGAATCTCAAACAGTAGCTGTCGCTGGCATTATCGATTGGAATAGCTTTCATAGAGGGCAATCCTCCTTGTACACAACACTAATTAAGATAACTTGTAGAACCATAAGATGGATGACCAGAAGGCGTTGGGGGGGGGAGAGAACTTACAACCATCCACAACACCTTTATACATAATTAGAGGCCTCTTCTGTTGACTGCAACCTACCGACAATGGGCATTGCCGCCTCTATGGACAGTAAACACTTGCCTGGCCATCTCCATCACCTTCAACTCTGGCCCAGCTCTTACCATTCTGTGCAGTGCATCCTCCAGCTTCATGTGCTTCATTCTCTCGCTCCATTCATTAATCCACATAGAAATGTGCGACGGGAGGGAGATGCAAATGCAAATGCAACACACGGGGCGGCACGACCACAAAAGCCGCCAAGAGGCCTATTAGCCACAATAAAGAGGCAGCAGGCAGCAGGCAGCAGGCAGCAGCCTCCTACTCCTCCTGCACGTCTCATGCCCCTGGAAATTCTATTATGCAGCTACAGGTGGGGAGGAATGGGTGTGTGTTTGGCCCCAACAGATGCCATTACAATGTAAATTCAACACAACAAAAAAGTTCACTCGGCAAACTTGATGCGGGTCCAAGTAGGGGAGACATAGACATAGACATCTCCATCTCCATCTGCCCCAGAGTCCCAGAGGCCCTTGCAACACAGCGGAACAATTGATCAAATATCATAATTTATCAAATGACAATGCAACAGGCGGCGGCAGTGGCGGCAACGTCTGAATGTTCTTGATCTCCGGACTCCGGTCTACGGTCTCTCCGGGCTCTGGCCTTGTTTGCTTGCCCCAATCCCCACACCACACCATGCCACACCGCCAAGTGTCGCTCCTCGGATATTCCATTCCATTCCATTCCATTCGAAAGCTACAACTTAATTTATTTGAACAATTTAAGTCGTGTGTTCGTTTGGGGTTCGTTCTCTTATTTATTTCGATGACCATCATAGCATCTACTTAGCATAATTGCAGCTGGAGCTGCCTCTCTGTTTATCAGAGAATTCCTCTCTGGCATTCTTGTGTGGGGTCTCTGGTAATCCTAGATAAAGTCCACTGGGTCAAATATCACAGAATTAAAAGCCAAACCAACCAAAAGACCGACCAAAAGCCAACATTTATGGTTCTATTATGGTAAGTTTCTTTGGTGGAATGAAAGAAGAGCTTAAGTGGAACGTTTCCTATCTTAAACAGAGAAATTTGTATGAAAATTGTCACCAGTTTGCTCACAAATTGATTACTTTATGATTAACAGATTGATTTCAACCCACTTTTGTGGTTCTACATGAAAGTGGGGGAAATATTCGATTAAATGTTCGTTGTGGAAATATTTTAGGTGTGGAAAGTTGATCGAAAATTATCCCAAATTGCTGCACACGCAAACCCAACGCGCTTTAATTATGTTTTGAGCCGATTAAGTGTTGAAATTAAAGACTGCATGTGCTTAAAATGCATTAAAAAATGTAGAATTTTATACAGAAAACGTCTCGAAATGATGCTAAATCAAACTAGGATACATTTCCTTTCATGTCAGTGTTCACAGCAATAGAACATCTTTTAGGCTTTCATTTCACATTCGTTTTCGGTCGCGCTACTATCAAGTACATTTTAAACATATTAAAAACAGATTTTGCTAAATTTATTTGTAATCGAGTCAAAAATGGAGGAGCAAAAGAAAGAGCTGCAGGATGGGGCAGCCAAGCACTGCCCCAACTGCAAAGATGAGCTGAAGCCCGAGCCCGAGCAGCTGTTTGAGGACAATGTGGAGGACATTGCCAAGAGTCTCGCGCAGATAATGCTAATCTGTGGCATCAACACGAGCAAGTGCTGCCAGGTGAAGTCCATCATCAAGAGTGCGTTTGTGTACCACGAGAAGTCGAGGACACAGTGCAGTCCGAAAGCCCAGCCAGAGGTGAGTATCGATCGGGATGATATGCTGAAGGCGCTGCACGTCAAGTGTGAGATGGAACGCATGGAGGCAATGCTTGCCTACTCGATTATCAAGCGGGCATTCAAGGCCTTCTTCCATGGGAAGCCACCGGTGACGGTGAGCAGTCCAGTTGTGGATGCCATGGCCGTACTCTCGCAGCAAGCGGCCTGGACCCATGCCGCCTTCAAGACGTCCCAGCTCTTTGACCAGTACCAGGCGGCGTTCTTTTGGGCCCACAAATCCTACGAGAAGCAGATCAATGTTATCTACACGGCGCTCTACAAGCGCATGAAGGCGCGCTGCACCATGACGCAGGAGTCCAGGTGCCGCTGTGCTCGTTGCAGCGAGCAATCGCTGTCCAGTGCCAGAAAGTTCGGCGGCAAGCCTGTGCCACAGAAGCTGACCCTCAAGGAAGACTGTGATCTGCCCAAGAGCTGTATACTGTGTGGCCTGCAGGTGCCGTCCGAATTGACAACGGGCCCGCTCGTGAATGTGAAGCTGCCACGTCCGATACGCAATCCGGAGGTGAATCTGCCAAGCTGCGACGTGTGCCACAGTCCGTTTCTCATCTGCGAGTGCACCATTGATCAGCTGACGGGGGAGCAGCAGGAGGATTGTGGCCAGGACTCGTACAAGGTGAAGTGGTATCGCCTGGAGGAGGGTGAACCGCAGACCAAGACCCAGTGGCCGCCATACATAGGATTCTTGGACACTAAGGAGACTGAGGAGCAGCAGCAGCCCAGCAGCGAGGATTGGGAGAATCATCACTGCCCTGTGGACTGCCGACATGACAGCAGCAGCTGCGAGGACGCTTTTACGTGCGACAGCGACTTTGGATCCTCGAATGTCTGCGACGATGACGACTCGAGCGACTGTCCTTCCAGCTACCGAAGCTGCACACATTTGCAGGAAAATACGGATAAGCTGGAGGCTTATCTCAAACAACTAAAGGCCAAAAATAAGAACCCAGAGACGCGTGAGCCAGGAGCAGCCTGTAAGCGTTGCAAGGATTGAGCCGCCACACACACACACCTCTAAGATTTCGTTACCTACAAGCAACTCGATTATTCAACTAGACAAGTTTGTTTTGTTCCTCCTATTTTTGGGGTATTGCTACGCCCACACGGGAGGCAACTGATCAGATCACAAAGCGCCTTGACAATGGGGCACTTAAAATGCCATTCCCTTTGGTTGTAATCGCCACTAAATTGCAGTCACCTCAACGACTCCTGCAAATGGGAACTGGCATGGGGAGGGGATTAGGCTTCTGTTCGCGCGTAGAAGTTCCACATAAATCGCATGGCATATCTGTGGACTTGCATCTCTCACTCTCTGTGCACGGGCTGTGGGTCTCCTCGCTTATCAATCCTGCCTCATCTCGAGAACTGAGAACTGAGAACAGAGTCGAGAAAAAACAGAACATCTTCTGCGAAAAATAGTAATTCCTGCGCAACTTGTCACAACTTTTGTAAGATTCAACGAGAGGCAACGTGGAAAGACGAGAAACGGCTCATGGCTGGATCTACCAGCAGGGACCAGGGACCAGGGACAGGCATGGAAGCAGAGGACAGTGTGTGGCAGAAGAGACGCCTCTGCGCCAGGGATTGTCTGTCAGTGGATGGGAAGTCCTAGTCCTATTTTTGGGTCTACTCCAATGATTCTCCCACTCTCTGGCCTCTCTGTGGCATGTTGCATTTGCATATAGATTTATTTTTATGGTTTCGCCGCCTGCCAATAAAATTTGTGTGACGATCGCTTGCAACAGCAGAACTCAGCAGACCTTTCAGACGTTCTTTCTTCATTGATTTCCAAAGAGTTTCATTCGATTCCCTCTGATTTCCACTTAAATATTTGGTAATATTTCTTTGGTTTGTCTTAATTATGATATGCTCGCCATTAAGTTTGTTCTGTTTCGAATATTACTGGAGATTACCCTAGATCCGAGTACCCTCCAGGGGGAGTGAATAAACAAAAGCCAATTGAGTGGGCAATTTTCAGAGATCGCTTTGAGCAGTGGGGAATACTTCCACAGATCCCCAAAGATCTCGTGGAAACCATTGAACTTTTTTCACATGGCCATCAAATTTGCATCTAATACGAACACTGGAAGTTCTTTTGGGTTGCATTCTCGAGACAGAAGACTGGAGACTGGAGACTGCAGACCACAGACCAAGCCACTCGAATCTTCACTTTGATACTCTTGAGGGGTGCGCCCCTGTGTGCCCGTCCCTCTGGCACGAATCGGATCTTAGCTCTCTGGCTCTTAATAGTCTTTTTATAGTCTGCACTTTTTCAACTTCAATTAATGAAGTGTCGAGTTGTTAACACCACAAAAACAGACGCACACCCAAGCATACAGAACACACAGAGGAGCTGCAGAGAAGCTTCCCAAATGGTTGGCCCATCGTTTGGGGCGTCTATTTCCAAACATTTTGCCCTGGGAGCTGGCTGCCTGCCTGGGGAACAAACAAACAAATTAAAACGAGCATCGACAGCAGCCGCCGCAGCAGCAGCCGGCTGCTTTTCTCAGGTGAGAAAACGGGGGCCCTACAGCACAGAGCAATGCATTTTCACGGCAGCGGGAAAAGCAAACAAGAAGCGGCGGCACAGACAGACAGACAGCAGCAGAAGCAGCAGCAAGAAGCTGTAGCAGAAGCTGTGTGGCTGACTCTCTGCCTCTTTAATCCCTCAAAAAACTTTGGCCTAGCACTTAGCGGTTTACGAGGCAGCCAAGTAGCAGCCGCCACTGCCCCTAAAGTGTATTTAGATATCCCACAAGTGGGCAGAGAGAGAGCGCTGTGGGGTGGGGCTTTTCTTTTGTGTATCTTTTGGCGACACTTTGTCGTGATTAAGTTGTTAAAAATGGGATAAATTCAATCAAGTTTATGCATTTATTGTCTTAAATGGAAAGCTAACTGAGATTCACAGTGGTAGAAAGTGCGTAAAAATAGTTTTAACTTGGGGAAACTGTTTCGGGAATTAAATGCAAGGCAAGGGAACTTAGAAAATGGAAATTAAGTAATGAAAAATACAAAAAAACCAAAGAAATATTCTCTGACAATTCTGCAATTATTTTCAGCATAGTTTTTAGGAATTTTCTGTAGATCCCTGCCAACTGGCTCTATCCATAGCACCTACTCCTTCCACCCCTCTATAGCTGCTAACTCCAGCCAGCTTCAGCCCATGAGTCTTCCCCCCGCCCTGAACTTGACACTTCTGCTTCACGGTGTCCCGCCCGAAATCAGTGTGGGAAAAAACAGTTGGAGCGTCAAATGAAGCGCCGCCCGAGAGCGGAGAGCGGCGAAACCAATTCCAATTTCAGGTGCAACCTCCCAAAAAATACAACAACAAAAAGAGAGAGAGAGAGAGAGAGAAGAGAAGATCTTGCCGCCAACGCATTCGAGAGAATAGTGAGAAAAATGTTAATGATAAACCTGTTTGTCAATTAAACACAAAATATATTGTAATAGTTGATAACAGAATAAGCAAACAGACAGACAACGGCACAGAGCTCCAGATGCCGCGCTAAGAACTTCCCAAGAAACAAGAAGAAGGAGAAGGAGAGGTAGAGTAGGGAGGGGATAGGGGCCTGGGCTGGTGCGAGGGGAGACAACCTGTCAACCCACAAAAGAGGGCCCAAAGGCTGGACCCTGACATCGTCGCCTGGGTTTCATTATCGCCTTTGCTGCCTCTACCTTTGCCTTCAACTTTGAGGCATGTCGCTGCCCTCTCTCTCTCTCTCTCTCTTTCTCTCTTTGCTGCTGCTGCTGCTCTGGCTTATTGTTTAGTGAAGCATTTAACTTATAAATATTGTTGTATGTTGTGTGTGGCACAGAGACCAGGGAAAAAGAGTGTTTTGTATATGTGTTACCGTTTTGAAAGGCAGCGTCTCGAATGGGGCAAGGCAGGGCCAGGGCCAGTGCCATGGCACTTCAGTCTTGCGTCTCTTCTTGGGGCAGGCAGGCATCTCAGCTCTCGCTGTGAAATATTTCCCATGACAATTCTGTTTGCTTTTCGTGTGCTGCATTGTGTCTTGCCCTCTCCCCTCGTTCGCTCTCTCTTGGCACCTCCTCACATCTCTTGCGCCCCCTCCCCCCCCCCCCCCCCCCCCATCGTCAGCTCACCTCATCTGTGGGGCTCTCGCTGGTCTTGTCGTCGCCCACTCGTGGATCCCAGGGAAGCAAGTGACTACAGTTCGTCGCTCTATTTGCTTTATCTATGCTCTGAGCTGAAACCCATTGGCATTGCCGCCATTGGGGCTGTCCGCTTTTTCCCAGGCCCTTGGACACAAGGCTGTCAAAGTCGAATCTTGCAGCTTTGAGTGGTATTCTCTCCACGATAGTGCCAGTGCCAGTGCCTGTCCAAATGGCGGCATTTAGGACTGTTTTCAACAGCCCAACTGGCACGAGTTGGCATCCCAGGCATCCTCCTGCTGCTCCGATTCTGCTCTCCGTCCTTCGTTTTGAACCAGTTGCGAAAATAACCAAACATTTTGAAAGGAAATTATGGGATATTCATGGGGATTAATGATATGCGACACAGGGAATGCTCTAACTGGGGGAAAAAGAAAGGGTTTGAAGGAGGAATACTCATTGGAAAAAGATCTGGATTGTGGGGTCATCTAATCTCTATTTTACTCCGATTTGTGTCTGCCATTTGTTGAAATAAACCTGCAACGAAAGCTGCTGCTCTGCACCAAAAGCATCTCCCATTTCATAATATCCTCAGCTGCCCTGCCCAGAAAGAGTAGAACTTATTAAGGCGCTGACTCCCCCTAGGCCCTTCCCTTCTGCCTGCGCAGAGCTGTCGGCGAGGTCAATGAAGTGCCGCCGAAATTCCGCGGAATTAAACCGCCAAAAAAGAAAAGAAAAGAAAAGAAAAGAGAGAGAGAGAGAAAGAGAGAACTTAACTCGGAACAAAACTGAAGCGAACGATGCGGCCAATTTGCGATCGTTGGTAATTATATTTGTTTGTGTGTGTGTGAGTTTGCGGTTTCTGAGTGTGGGGGAAGGAGCCGAAGGCTCAGCTAAAAGCGGTTCGTTCGATTGGGGCACTGGTAGCGCTGCCACCAGTCGACAAAGGGAAGATGCACGGCAACGGGAAAGGAGGGGACTCCCTGTGCTCCCTCTGCTGCTGCTGCTGCTATTGTCTGCTGCTGCTCCTCCTGTGGCACCTCCTGGGGATTCAGTGTCTGTGGCTGATGTCGCTGCGTGAGCAGATGGCACAGCGAGCAGTAAGGCTCAAAGGTGGAGCGTAGCTTGTACTTGGAATGCCACCAAAAGTAGCGTTGATACAGCTCCGGCTGTGCCATCAGCGCCTTTAGATGCTCCACCAGCAGTTTGGCGGTGGCAAAGTCCCGACTGTTGACGTAGGAGCCGGGCGGCACGAGATTTGTTAGATTGCCACCGCCTATGAGCACGGGCACCATGAACTTGTCGAGTGCCTGATAGAATTGTGGGTGCACAAAGTCCGGACAGGAGCTGGGCTCAAAGATGAGCATAAAGTAATAGGCGCTGCAGCTACAAGAGAAGGGATTCGATTTTGTTTAGGGAAAGTAAATTCTATTGCCACTCACGCATGATAACCTCTACAGCTTTCGTGTGCCTCCAATTCCACATGTTTGCGCATTTCCATCAGATAATAACTCTCCGCCATTGTCTGTTCATTCACCAAGTACATCATGTACACCGCCAGGCGATCCTTTAGCTTCAGGTGCTCATGCAGGCCCACAATCATGGGCGCAGACATTCCCTTGGAGTAGCTCTCAATTGGCTGCTCGAAAGCATTGAGACGGCTCGTCTCATTGTGCAGCGAAAAGTAATACTCGGACCACACCAGATCCGAGTCCAGGCGATAGCTCATTGTCAGATTGAATGGTGCCTTGAGAAAGGGAATCGGATTCTGTGTTTGACTCAGGGGAGCACTGCCAGAGAACACCACCAGATGATCAGCGGTGTGGTGAACACTCTCGAGGCCAAGTGGAGAGTACGGCTGATCGGCATTAAAGACAATCGCATCGAAGGGTTTGGCGTGAAAGTCTCTGTCGGATGTCACCACACAGCCGCACTCCATGTGCACGGAACGCTCCCAGGCGGGGCCTTGGTTCCAAAGGAGAATGACTGAATGATTCAGTGGCTTGTGGACGCCCTGGCACTTTTTGTAGATGGGAATGATGGCAAAGAGCAGGCAGATCGTCACCACAATGCTGAGCATCTTGAGCACATTCATGTAGTACTCGGGCGTCCTCTTGTGGCGCTGCAGATTCTGTCGGGCATCCTGTCTCTTCCCTCTGGGCACACGTAGTTGAGGCAGCTCCGCCATTTCCCGCTGCATTTTCTGCAGACTGCGTCGCTGGCTGAGGAGAATTTTATCCAGAGGCTTCGTGTCCCCCTTTTTGTCTGGCGGCATTTCAACAAACAATTTGGTTGACTGATAGTAATGTGTGTGTGATGCTCTCTTTTGGTTGAGGCTTGGCAGAGGGGAACAATGATTATTTTGCCGTAAATCTGTGAGAATTTCGATGTAACAATGCGAGTTGACTAAAGGTTTTGGGTTCGGCTTACGCACTCTGAATAGCCGAAAAGGGAGGGACTGCTTTGAGTTGTAGATTGTGGCAAACTATGATATGTTTTTTATAGGAAAACAAATCAAGGAAGCAAGTTGAAGCCCCCCCCAATTGATTGCCTCGGCGTCAAATGGCAACTCCACCTGATGATGCTTTTTGCCACTTTTCATCGTCAGCCAAAAACAGGAACAAAGTAATCAATCATTTTGCGCCAAAACCATCGGAGAACATGACAATCTGCAAACAACAATTTTGTGTAAGCGCTGGGCGAGAGGGGGGAGGAAGTGGGAGGTGTGTACAGGCAGCACGTTGGATCCATCCATCGTTGATATATCACTGCAATTTCCATTTTGCAGTTGCCTCATTTCGAATGCGTGCCCATGGAGGAGGAGGATGTGGCAAAGGCAGAGGCAAAGGCAAAGGCAAACACGGGGGCCACATGGAGAGTGTAGCTGGACATGGGACGTGCCAGGCGCTTCTCCACGACACTCCCTCCGGAACGTTGTCTCAATTATAGTGGGAAGTGGCAAACCTCTGTGCAATTTTCCAATTGACAACCATTTAAATGTTACGCATTTCATGTTAAACTTCCCATAAAACGTGACTACAGCATAAAAAGGGAAACAAAAGGTAGAGGAGGAAACATTGCCCAGGAGGTGACAGGACGGGCAGCACGTAGCAACAGTTTTGTTGGGCATGTAAATTGCCCATTCGATGAGTTATGAAAGTGAAATGGATTCTGCATACACAACAAATAAAACAACTCCTTAGAACAAGAGCCACAGACAAACCAGAAACGGAGAAACAAAATCCGAGAGCAGCTTCCCCCCTGGAACATGTATAAAATTTAATTATTCCAGCGAATCCCCAAGCCAAACAAAAGAGCCATTTCGAATGCAGCTCCACTTTGGGCCCTGTAGTCCTCCTGATCCTCGCTCGCTCGGCTCACCTCAAGGCTTCGCCTTCAAAGCCAAAAGTCAGAGGAGAATGGAATTGAAATTCCATTCATTTTGGGGGCGTTACCGCAGCGCACAGTCTGAAAGCCTTAACAACCAAAATGCAATAAATATGCATATGAGAGAGAGAGAGAAGTGCTGCCGCTGGAAGGAGAGTTATGGGCCACGATTTGAATAATTTGGTTCCCACACTTTTGGCCACAAAAAACAGACCAGCAAACAGCCTCAGCAGTCGCCACAAACCATTTTTAATTAAAGTTATTAATAGGTTCCAGGAGAAAGAGAGAAGAGAGTAGCAGACTCTTCTCTCTCCTGTGATCTCTCGTGACTCATGTGGCAGCTACTTAGTTCAAGGTGTCCTTAAGTCCAACCTAAGACCTAAGGCCAATGGCAATTAAGTGCCGCCGCACACATTGCCAGCAGCAGCAGCAGCAGCAGCAATTTTGGTGGCAACTGCTTAATTATCCGAAAAAGCAACGATCCTCTTCGATTCGATTTCAGAAACAAAAGAACCGCCAGCGCCCAGCTCTGACTTCACTTGGGATTGGGATGGAACACAGACAAAAAGGTTCGAAAAGGAGCTGCAAACGAATTAACATGTAATTATCGCAGCTTCGTCTGGAAATCGAATCGAATCGAATCGAATCGAATCGAAACGAATCGCCGGGCGACACCCAGACCAAAAACAAACTTGTCTCTCGGCCTAGACCTAACAAGGAACAAGCAGAAAATAATCTCAAAAGTAGAGCGAAGGAGGGAGAGAGGGAGAGAGGGAGAGAGGGAGATGCAGAGCCAAAGGTTGTGTGGCAGCTGCCTCTTGTTGCGTGCGTGCCAGTGTCGGTTGCTGGTGCCGTGATGGTCTTCGGGGTGTGTCTGCTTCCTTGGCCCTAAAGAGGATTCCACACACTGACCACCCGCGCACTGCTAACGCCAGCAAAGGCACGAAGGAACACATACCATGCCGATGTGGCCAAGTGGCGCTAAAGTTGTCAGTCCTCTAAACCCTAATTAGGTGTTATCTACGACCCAAGCGCGCCCCTTCTTTTCGTACGAGTAATGTGGCTGGTTGGCTCTTCTCCATTGATGTCCACCGACAAAAACACAGAGAGAGAAAAGGTGACTGGAACTGCATGGAGGATGTGTTTCTGGACTGTTTCGAGCTACAACTCGAAAAGACCTCCAAAGACTTTCACTCTCCACTGAGTCATGATGTCACATGGATCTTGTTTTTCGGGGGGCGCCAGTTAAGTCATCAGGGAAATGCCACGATTGCCGTCCATCCATCCATCATCTGTGCTGTGAGCCACACACACACACACACAGTTTTTCGGTGATTATCACTGCCCGGCACTACTAGGGGTAATCTTTTCCCCACCGACATTTTGCGCACAATTGATGGCAATTGTGGCGATCATCGCTGTGGATGGATGACACATGCATAGCCCCCAAAAGCGGATGCCGACAATCAGTGGAAAGCAGAAAAGAGCAGACAGAACCGGACAAAAGCTGATTGAAGAGGCTAAGTAGTGACCTACTGTCGCTGAATGCAACTGAATGAATGCAAAAGCGAGCACAGAACACACAAATTAGATATAATTAGATGTGAACTGAGGAAAGAGCAAGCTTATATTCTACTTTACACGTGTCGAGCGACGTGCAGCAGCTCTTGGAACGTAGAAGATCGAACGAAGCCTTCCAAGATCTAACGTTCATTTTGGCATTGATTTTTCGCTTACAAGTGCCTCGCACGCCTCTGTTGCCATTAACCCATTCGAAAGCCCTTCTTCTACTTATTTTATTTATGTTGCTTCCCCGGCAATTTCTTGCATATGCAATACTTTTTGACCAGCGAATCTTTTACACATTTGGCCGTAGCCGAGTACGAATCCTTGCGACTCAGCTCATCCACATTCATTTTGAGCGTACTGCTCCTTGGATTCCAACGAACTGTGGCCTCGAACTTCGGTTTCTTATAAACTGTTTGAAAATTCAGGACATAGACATGCTCCGTGGCTGCTGTGGTGCTCCTTTCACCCAAGATCTCCTTGCGATCCATCACTTCAACGCTATTGAGTTGGAAATTCTCACAGAGGTGTGTGAGTTTCTTGGCCACCAAATGTTGGTTCATGCCTTGCACCACAGCGCGTGCCACGGCCATGTATTGGGTGCGATTTGTGACTGTTGTCGTGGGGTGGCAGGTGCACCATTTCTCGGTGATGCCTGCCTCCGAGCAGCTGCGATTCTCTGGCAGCTCGAAGAACAGCGATCGACAGTTCGGACACTTTTTGGCCTTGATTCGTGCATCAAAAGCCTCGTGGGAGCGCGTATTTAGCTGCAGAATGTGCTGCAGGGTCATGTGCACATCGTAGTTGGACGACAGCCGATTGCGATTCTTACGCAGATTCGCCACATAATGGGGATACTTCTTGCGGAACCATGGGGGCACATACAGCCACATCATGGGCAGACGCTCATCCAGGTAGCCCGACTTGGTGCGCGTTCGAATATTGCCAAAACGATAGCCATGATCGCTGACCAGCAGCACAATCGAACGCTTGAAGAGTCCCAGTTTGAGGAGCAGCAGCAGATACTCCCTGAACAGATGATCCATGGCACTGCCAGCCGAAAACACATTGTGCGTGAAGCTGTTGCTCCAGAAGACACCAAACATGGGCGTCTCCTCGAGCAAACGTTGAACAAACTGCACGGCAAAGTCCCACACGTAGCCGGAGCTGATGTGGCGACCCACACAGAAAATCGTTTCAAACCGTCGCTCCAGCTTGAGGGTTTTCTCAATGGCCCGCACAAACGGACGGAGATAATAGTCGACTGGCTGCCGGATGAATCCTGGCTTGTGAAAATTGAACGTGCTCAGTGATTGGCAATCCTCGGCGTAGGCTGTGGTGTAGCCCGCCTCCTTGAAGTGCTGCCAAATGTAGTCCAATGAGTCTTCGAAGCCCCTGACCTTAAACTTGCCAGCTTCAATGTTTTCCACATGATTGTCGCCCGTGAGAATGGCCAGGAGATTGGGCAGCGTGTTGTCGCCCACCTTGTTGTAGCCCTGCATCTCGAACCAGCCGGGCAGGTTCTTCAGAAATCGCAGCACCTGTGGCATGGTGCGGCGGAGATTGATGCGCGAAGTGGAATCAATGCCCAGGATAATGACATTCGGCTTGGGGTCCTGCTCGTCGTTGAGCAGGCGAAACGAATGCACCAGCTCCTCGGGTGTGAGATGATCCTGGACAAAGGTCATGGCATCCCTTTGCGTGATGTTTGATTTGTGGTTCTTGCTGTTGCTGCTGTTGAGGAAGCATCGTGTGGTTATGTATTCCACATCGTTGGGCACCACCAGATTATCGGTGAGGGGTATAACCTTTGACATTCTGTGGGGGATACACAGAAGCAGATTTATGTAGGGTTTATGTTTCAAGAGTTTCTCCGCAGTTCTCCCACCTGTATGCATCATCGGGTATTGTGGCATTGCCATCCCTGTAAATCTTTTGATAGCCACACTCGAGTGTCACATTCTCCTTGGCCATTTTCCTGGCCAAATCCAGACGTGTGTGCACTCGATATTGCTTCAGTTTCGGATCGTATTCGGCCGTCACCAGTTCGCTATCGTTGTGGCAGTCCTTTAGCTTGATTTTCTTGTAAATGGCCATGACATCGGCACTAAAAGGATCCACATAGGGCATCTTGCACAGCGGACTATTCACAAAGTACTTGGGCATTGCTGGTTGTTGCCCCGCGGCAGCTGCAAGTGCCACGAGGCTGAAGAGTGTGCCAAATGGCACTAGAAGCATGCGATTCATGGCAGAAACTGATCAGCAGGGATTGAGATCTGAGTAATTGTACTTCGAGTATGACTAAAGGGCCGTGGAAAGAATTGATTTACTTGTAAGAAGCGACGGACTGGCTGAGAGTTTCTTTGTGAATGAATAAAGTGGATGGATCGGCAGATTGTTCTCTTTCCAGAGCTCTTTTTTGGAGCCTTAAGGGAAGATTCTTTGAGGTATTCTTTCAGCTCAGATCTTAATGGTTTAA